TACAGTGCAAGTTAATCACAAACTAAGTGCGAGCCACAAAACCCGTCTCCAGCCCTGCTGCATGGGCTGTGTACGGACCCGACGGCACTCCTCGCCTGGGAAAAGCCCCACGGCCGGATCAGGAGCTGGGAGACGAGGGACCCCGCAGTTACCTGCTCTTCTCACACAGGCTGGTAGTTTTCCAAGCCAGCCCTGACGAGGTCACACTGGAGGGCAGAGTCCGGGTTGGCAGAGCCCACGTCATTGCAGTCTCCTCCGGCTGTGTCTCCCAAATCTACAGTGCTCGACACAGCAGCAATAAACTGCAAAGGTGTGCCCTGTGTGTCAGTGTTACATGCTTTTGAGAGAATACTGGGGTTTTGGGACGCGTTTGGAGCCTTCTTTGTCACCAGTGGAGGCAGTTACTGCTTTTTTGACCTCAGATTGTAGAGGTCTGTGTGCCAGAGCCCAAATCGTGATGGCGATGCCAAGGAGACGAGGGGTTACAACGGTCGCATGGAACAGAATTTGCTTTAAAGAAAAAAACAACAGGGGAAAATGCTGGTAAACTTTCATACGACTCCTGACCTTTATGTAACGCTGGCTAACTTGCAAATCAATCAGAAACCAAGAAATGCCAGAATTGCGCAACCCTGGTTGGGTCCATGTGCCTGCCTGCCTTGTGCCTCGGGTTTCCGTCTCTCTGGGGACATGCTGAAACCCGGGGCGGGGGCGAAGGGAGGCCTTCGGGGTGCCAGGGCGCCGGAAGGGCTGGCACTCTGCGGGGACATAGCTTTGCCGGGAAACCCCTCCCTCTCTCCCGGACTGTCCTCCTGCCAGAAGCCGGGGGACAAAAGTCCAAAGCAAATCAATAAACCGGGGGCGGAGGGGGGAATGCGGCATCTGCTTGATTGCCCCAGCCCTTGCAGAGAGGGCTGTGTGAACTCTGCGTGCCTTCTCCCAAAGAGGATGAGGAGGGTCCTCCTTATCCCCCTGCCAAGAGGGGTGACAAGGGGAGAGCCCTGGCCTGAGATGCTCAGGGACAGCTTCCCAGCTGGAGGCCTGCAGGTCAGGTCCTGCCAGCCCTTGCTCCCAGCTTTTTCTTGGAGGAAACGGGATCCCAGCAGAGAAGACGTACCCTGCCCAAGCAGTGCAATGCCGAGGAGGGGAGGGGGCAGGTACTGCACCAGGAGCTGCTGCTGTCCCCCATGGCACTGCCACCGCCACCGGGTCACTGGGGCCTGTGGGAGGAGGGGGAATTGCTTGGAGGAGGATGCATGCCCCTGGACCACTGTCTGATGCGTCCCTCTCAGTTTAACAGTTTTCTCCAGAGGGGAAGGTAAAGTCATTTCTGCTTTGCTGTGGGCAAGCAAGGTTAGCACTTTGAGTGGGAACAGACAGCGGGTGATAAAAACACAGTGCAATAAGGATGAATAGTCACCCTGAGCAGAAACCCCTGGCTACAGGCCACCCAACACCAAACTGCTTGGATGCTGGAAGGTGCCATCAGTGCCCTGCGGGCAGGGTCCTCCGCTGCCCTTCTCTTCATGATAAAATCATCGACTGAGTTTCTAACCAAAAAACTTCCAGGAAATCTTGTTAATCCTTGAAGAGTATTAGCAACACCTTATTAACAGGTAAATTTGTGTAGAAAGCTGTGATGAAGAGCTCCCTCTTGAAACTGTGATCATGGGCTATGAATGAAAAGACTTTCTTTAAATGAAAATTAATCTCAGCAAAGTGAAACAATAATTTGTGCAGAGCCAAGTGCACAGAAGAGGAGGAGGAGGAGTATCCCGGAGCTATGTGACTAGGAAGAGTTGGGGGTGAAAAATGTGAAATATTTTGAGTGACACATAGACACTGGTAAGCAGGGAGGCATTATTGCCCATGCTCAAGCTCTTCTGCAGTGGACGAACCCCTCGGGGCCGGGGGGGCTCTGGGCCTGGGGACAAGCAGAGGAGCCTTCGGCGACACGTCTCCCCTCCTACACAAAACACCACCAGCCACCCGGCGTGTCCTCGCACAGAGGCGTTTAGCAGCCGCTCCTGTTTTGAATTATCTGATGGATTGCAAAGGGCTTTAAAATCAGCCCTTCTCAGAGCAGCAGACAGTTGAGGTCTGGTGTCCCCAGGATTTTCCCCAAAAGTGAGGGGCTGCACGGGTCCTTCGGCACCCGCTGCATTGCAGCACCAGAGCACCAGAGCCGCTGCAAGAGCCGCTGCCCCCTCTGCGCGGCTCCTGGCTTGCCCCAAACCTGCCCCGATTCCCTATCATCAAAACTTTCACTTTCTGCCATGCGGACAGAAAAAGGGGGCACAAAAATGGTTCAAATGTCATTTTGTGGGACAGACAGACATGCACGCTGCTCAAACACCTGCAGGTAATGTCTGCACACAGATCACGCTCAAAATATGTTTCCCTATTTTTACGTCTCTGAGAGGTTTGAATGGGGGCTAAACGTTTGGGGCTGGGTTTTGGGCGTTTTTTTCCTCCTGGCTTTGCTGAGTTTGTGTCGGGAAAGAGACGGCAGCAGGCGGTGAGGAGGTGCTGAGGCTCCGGCGGGGAGAT